AAGCTGCGAATTACCCTCTGTAGTTCTATTTGGTGTGGATAGATCCCCCTGTGAAAAAACTCACTTGTGGTTTAGACCCGCACGGAGAGAACTACCGAGGGGTCTATCCGCAATTGGTGTTTAACCTTTGTTTCACGTTGGTTCTGCATACCCTTAGTAATAAGCTTGGAAGATTTGATTTGAAGTTTTGAACTTGTTTGTTTGTATTAGTATTCTCTATGTTTGGTTTGTATCCCCTATTTCAGCGCTATGTATGATTTCACACATGCTTATTTCTGAGAAATCACATTTTTTGCCAGCAAAGCCATTGTCATTTTTTAAACTGTAGGGTATATAAAGTTCTCTCGATACCTCCCTCTTTCTCTTCCCTGATGTTTTCAGCCACAGCCATTCTCATTTTTGAGGCCCTCATTGCTCCCTGTCATCGGAAACTCTCCCCAGAGCCAACCTCTGAAATGGAACAATTCCGTTAAAAAGGTAATTGGCCGAACCAGCAGGCAGCCTATCGGTGGCTCGATGGTTGGTTCAACGGCTACGATTGCCTTCCCACATTCCATTCCATCAGATTGTTGAAATCTTTCACGGCACACGCTGAGGGTTTTGGCTTTGTTTGAGGCCGACATGTTTCCGTTGAAGCAGGCACTGATGTTGAAAAACATGTGGGATAGACGATTTCTTGAGAGGAAGAAGGTAGATTTATTCCCTTTAATCTCATAATTATTTTGTTTTCTTAAAGTTATAATTTTGGGACGTGAATTCTCTTTGTAATTGGTATCTTGACTTGAAACAATTTTATGAATTAACTTAGGTTTACAGATATTATGATATATGAGGCCCCTGCATTTGAGATGATGTCATCTTTACCCAATGCGAGTTGATCACAGAGGAAATAAATTAGCGTTAAATCATTTAGTTATTAATTTAGACCAGTTTCTTCCTAGTTATATAGATATCCTAATGACATATACAAATAGAGTATATAAAGTCTTTTTTTTTTTTTTTTTGAAGAAGAGTACATGAATGTACATGCACATGGTAATTTGTTTCCATTTTATCACATATAACGAAAGATGGAATAAGTTAATTAATAAAATTTCTTTTTTAAGCACGCATCTAATTTTTCGTGAATATTATGACTTTAAGGTTAAACTGTTACCTTTTCTTTCCCAAAATTCTATTGAATTGATATACTATTTTGAAGAATTCTCTTTATGAATTAGATTTCTAATTTGCGCATTTATATAGTTAGAGAAAAGTAGTATACAGGCAATTGGCAAACTTTTCCCTATACCTATTTTTTACTCTTTTTCACACTATTGTTGCGGCATTGCACGGGTCAATTTTTACTTATTAATACCGTTAGAATATATAAATATAATCCTCACCTCTCACCAGGGCTTCGGCTTCGGAGTTTGGTGACCCCCGCAAGTTGAGCATCCCTTTTATGTGTTGAAACTTGGACTCATGTAGCAATATCAATTTTTTTTAAAATCCATATTAAATTTATAGCTAATTGGAATTGAAGTTTTGGCACAGTGGTAGAGTTTTTTGACGTGGTATCATAGCACCAAGATTGAAATTTTGTTGGCCGAATTTAATGCGTATCTTAAAAAAATTGTTACTGCCACGTGGGTCTAGGTTTCAGCCCATAGAAAAGGATGTTCAAGTTGTAGAGACATGTTATAATATAAAAAAAAAATCCTCAACTCTCATCTTAACTTCGGGGTTTTAGTACAGTAGCAGGGACTTTGACAAATACTAGCTGGACTTACGATTTAAGTAGGAGTTCCTTTTTTAATCAATTTGGTTTTGCGTATGAGCCTAGTTCTTCTCAACTTGTAGTGTGGGCATTTCTTGTCAAATGCATTGATGTACATAGATTACTTGTTCTCTACCACCTGATGGGATAAGAGTCTTTTTTTTCTTGCGCAAAAGATCAATTTCGACATATAGACCCTTCAGATATCAATGCTTAAAGAATTACAACCTCTCAAGATTCCAGAGCTGCAGCTTGAGAGAGAGAGAGAGAGAGAGAAAGAGAGCTCCAAAGACACCGAAATATCTTTGTTAATTAGAAACATTCAACAAATAACCACCCAGGGGTGAGGGGTTGCTCTGATATCACTATTAACACTGGCCTAAACGTCACAGATTGATGGCAATTCTTTCTGCTGGATCACCAATCTGAACCAAAATATACCCCCTATAATGAAAGCAAATATGTCAGCACAAAAAAAAAAACACTAAAACAGTAGTGGGAAAAAGAAAAGAAGACTATTTCCAGGTCAAGATATTGGAGAGTGAATCATTCGTGATGGCTTTTTTTTGCCAGCGAGGTCAATGTATTCTTCCTTTCTTGAACTTTTCATCTGTACCAAGTTGGTCCTGAGTCACAAAACATTAGGTACTTTGATAGATCAGTTTATTACCCATAATCATCCAAAATTATCGCCTAAAACAAATATATAACCATCCGTTAAATGGGAAATATTTTTGACTGAGAAACTTATTTGATTACATTTAGATTGAAGACAAGCTATGAGACAGATTCAGAGCTAGTTTGGCCTGCAAGAGGATCACACAATCTTAAGACTCTTTATTGGTGAGACCTGAAGACTATTTCCAACTCAAGCTGGAGTCGAACAACTGACCCTTTCCTTTTTTTTTCCGGTTAACTTTATTTCCAGGGGAGGTGTCTTGGTACCCAATATTAGAACCCTGTTCGTTCTCAACCTACAAAATTTTCAAAATTATAGATAAAGCCGATATTCGAAGACAATGTCTTCTAGACACAAAATTTGGGCTAATTATGAAACTATATTATTTTTAGGGAAAAATGCTTCCAGCCCCCAAAAGCCAAGTGAACATGCTTCCCACCCCCAGGACTTGGTCAATGGGTGTTTTACCCCTAAAAATAAAGAATCTGTTCTCTGAGCCCCCAAAACACAAAACCCAAGACATTAAAACATGTGAAGACCATAATACCCTTCTCTCTCTCTCTTTTTTTTATTAAAATATGATGAGGATTATTTTATTATTTTTTTCTCTCTCTCTTTATCATGATGTACCAAGAGGATAGTTGAAATGATTGATGAGGATTATTTTATTATTTTCGTTTTTTATTATTTTGGTTGTTTGTATTGGGAGGTTGTTAAAGTTACGGGTTGATTGTTAAGGTTACGGGTTGGTTGTTAAGGTTAAGGGTTTGTTGTTAAGGTTATGAATCCTCTCTCTCTCTCTCTTTCTTTTTTTATTAAAATATGATGGGGATTATTTTATTATTTTTGTTTTCTCTCTCTCTTTATCATGATGTACCAAGAGGATAGTTGAAATGATTGATGATGATTATTTTATTATTTTCGTTTTTTATTATTTTGGTTGTTTGTATTGGGAGGTTGTTAAAGTTACGGGTTGATTGTTAAGGTTACGGGTTGGTTGTTAAGGTTAAGGGTTTGTTGTTAAGGTTGTGAATCCTCTCTCTCTCTTTCTTTTTTTATTAAAATATGATGGGGATTATTTTATTATTTTTGTTTTCTCTCTCTCTTTATCATGATGTACCAAGAGGATAGTTGAAATGATTGATGAGGATTATTTTATTATTTTTATTTTTTATTATTTTGGTTGTTTGTATTAGGAGGTTGTTAAAGTTACGGGTTGATTGTTAAGGTTACGGGTTGGTTGTTAAGGTTAAGGGTTTGTTGTTAAGGTTATGAATCCTCTCTCTCTCTCTTTCTTTTTTTATTAAAATATGATGGGGATTATTTTATTATTTTTGTTTTCTCTCTCTCTTTATCATGATGTACCAAGAGGATAGTTGAAATGATTGATGAGGATTATTTTATTATTTTTATTTTTTATTATTTTGGTTGTTTGTATTGGGAGGTTGTTAAAGTTACGGGTTGATTGTTAAGGTTACGGGTTGGTTGTTAAGGTTAAGGGTTTGTTGTTAAGGTTATGAATCCTCTCTCTCTCTCTTTCTTTTTTTATTAAAATATGATGGGGATTATTTTATTATTTTTGTTTTCTCTCTCTCTTTATCATGATGTACCAAGAGGATAGTTGAAATGATTGATGAGGATTATTTTATTATTTTCGTTTTTTATTATTTTGGTTGTTTGTATTGGGAGGTTGTTAAAGTTACGGGTTGATTGTTAAGGTTACGGGTTGGTTGTTAAGGTTAAGGGTTTGTTGTTAAGGTTATGAATCCTCTCTCTCTCTCTTTCTTTTTTTATTAAAATATGATGGGGATTATTTTATTATTTTTGTTTTCTCTCTCTCTTTATCATGATGTACCAAGAGGATAGTTGAAATGATTGATGAGGATTATTTTATTATTTTCGTTTTTTATTATTTTGGTTGTTTGTATTGGGAGGTTGTTAAAGTTACGGGTTGATTGTTAAGGTTACGGGTTGGTTGTTAAGGTTAAGGGTTTGTTGTTAAGGTTATGAATCCTCTCTCTCTCTCTTTCTTTTTTTATTAAAATATGATGGGGATTATTTTATTATTTTTGTTTTCTCTCTCTCTTTATCATGATGTACCAAGAGGATAGTTGAAATGATTGATGAGGATTATTTTATTATTTTTGTTTTTTATTATTTTGGTTGTTTGTATTGGGAGGTTGTTAAAGTTACGGGTTGATTGTTAAGGTTACGGGTTGGTTGTTAAGGTTAAGGGTTTGTTGTTAAGGTTATGAATCCTCTCTCTCTCTCTTTCTTTTTTTATTAAAATATGATGGGGATTATTTTATTATTTTTGTTTTCTCTCTCTCTTTATCATGATGTACCAAGAGGATAGTTGAAATGATTGATGAGGATTATTTTATTATTTTTGTTTTTTATTATTTTGGTTGTTTGTATTGGGAGGTTGTTAAAGTTACGGGTTGATTGTTAAGGTTACGGGTTGGTTGTTAAGGTTAAGGGTTTGTTGTTAAGGTTATGAATCCTCTCTCTCTCTCTTTCTTTTTTTATTAAAATATGATGGGGATTATTTTATTATTTTTGTTTTCTCTCTCTCTTTATCATGATGTACCAAGAGGATAGTTGAAATGATTGATGAGGATTATTTTATTATTTTTGTTTTTTATTATTTTGGTTGTTTGTATTGGGAGGTTGTTAAAGTTACGGGTTGATTGTTAAGGTTACGGGTTGGTTGTTAAGGTTAAGGGTTTGTTGTTAAGGTTATGAATCCTCTCTCTCTCTCTTTCTTTTTTTATTAAAATATGATGGGGATTATTTTATTATTTTTGTTTTCTCTCTCTCTTTATCATGATGTACCAAGAGGATAGTTGAAATGATTGATGAGGATTATTTTATTATTTTCGTTTTTTATTATTTTGGTTGTTTGTATTGGGAGGTTGTTAAAGTTACGGGTTGATTGTTAAGGTTACGGGTTGGTTGTTAAGGTTAAGGGTTTGTTGTTAAGGTTATGAATCCTTCTCTCTCTCTTCTTCTTTTTTATTAAAATATGATGGGGATTATTTTATTATTTTTGTTTTCTCTCTCTCTTTATCATGATGTACCAAGAGGATAGTTGAAATGATTGATGAGGATTATTTTATTATTTTTGTTTTTTATTATTTTGGTTGTTTGTATTGGGAGGTTGTTAAAGTTACGGGTTGATTGTTAAGGTTACGGGTTGGTTGTTAAGGTTAAGGGTTTGTTGTTAAGGTTGTGGATTTGTTGTTAAGGTTATGGATTTGTTGTTAAGGTTACGGGTTTAATTGTTAAGGTTATGGGTTTAATTGTTAGGGTTACATATCTAAAGATCCTCTTGGTACATCATGATAAAGAGAGAGAGAGAGAGAGAGAGAAATAATAAAATAATCCTTATCATATTTTAATAAAAAAAGAAAGAGAGAGAGAAGGGTATTATGGTCTTCACATGTTTTAATGTCTTGGGTTTTGTGTTTTGGGGGCTCAGAGAACAAAATCTTTATTTTTAGGAGTAAAACACCCATTGACCAAGTCTTGGGGGTGAGAAGCACGTTCACTTGGCTTTTGGGGGCTGGAAGCATTTTTCCCTTTTTATAGAAACTATCATTTAACTATTTCCATTTTATGCAACTTGCTAATTTATTATTTATTACATACGCTCATCTTTTTCTTTGTTCCTGCAGTTGCAAGGAAGAAGCTCACTTTTCCTAAAAGACAAAGTCCTCGCGTTCTAAACTTATAAACAGCCTCCATTCGCATTCTCGTATATCTCTTTCCTTTTGTCTTGATTAATTAGTCATCAACTATTTTGATCTGATCCTCTTCATCTCTCCTCATTTCAGAGGTATTTTCTTCCTTTCTTTCTTCTTAGTACCTCCTTTTCCTGTCTCGAAAGCTTGGCTCGAAAAATTTTAGTGCCAGACTTCAACCTGCATTTTCTTTTTCTTAATGAAATTAAGAGGTTTTGTGAAAAATGAAGATTCTGTAGGTTGTTGTCCAGTTCCCCAATGAGCTGCAGGCATAAAGTTCTGGTTTGTGTAGATCTTAGTAGAGGAAGTTCATCGATGACATAGAATGATGGTTTCAGATTGCAATGACGTGGTAGTAGAAACCCTTGTTGAAATTGAACTCAATGTTGATAGTAGTTCCTCCAAGTCTCAGAGAGATTGCAATGCAAAGCTTCTTGATTCCTACAAGGCATCTATTTCAAGAGCTTTTTCCATTTTTCGAAAAAGAGCGGATGAGAGAGAGGAGACTTCTGCCTTGGTTCCTTCTCGTATCAGTATCACGCAACATTTTCAGTCTCGCTTCGATGTTGTGAGCTTATTCAAGGAATGGATCAAGCATCCAATGAATATTGCTCTTCTTGTGTGGTTTCTTTGCGTCGCAATCGCCGCCATAATGCTGGCTCTCCTCTTCCTCGGTCTCTTAGACAAACCACTCCCAACAAAAACCTCAAGAAATCGCTGGATCGAAATAGACAACCAAATTCTCAACGCTCTCTTCACTCTTATGAGCTTATACCAACATCCAAATCTCTTCCATCACCTTGTTCTTCTATGTCGGTGGAGATCTCGAGACATCGTAGAACTAAGAAAAATTTACTGCAAAGACGGTGCTCACAGAAATCACGAGCGGGCCCACATGTTGCTCGTAGTTCTCCTCCTCCACATCGCTTGCTTCTCTCAGTACGTTATCTGTGTCCTTTACTGGGAATATCCGAGCACAATAAGACCCGAATTTATTGAAAACTTATGCATTGCTCTTGGAACTATATCTCCAGTAATCGCTGGTTTATACACAATTTACAGTCCTCTTGGAAAAGAATGCAGTTCAGATACAGAAGAAGAAATGCATGGTGTTAACATATCGAACAATGCTAGAACCGTTGTCAATCCTGAATGGAACGGAGGACTGTTTGATTGCAGCGAAGACAAGAGTACAGGAATTCTTTCATTCTTCTGCACTTTTTGCGTATTTGGTTGGAATATGGAAAGGCTTGGATTTGGGAATATGTACGTGCACATGGTGACTTTCTATCTCCTATGTTTTGCTCCCTTGTGGATTTTTAGCATATCGGCGATGAAAATTAGCAATGAGGTTATCAGAGACGTGGTGGGGCTTTCTGGAATTGTTCTCGGTGTGTTTGGTATGATGTATGGGGGGTTTTGGAGGATCAGGATGAGAGAAAAATTTGGACTTCCAGGAAATGGTTTGTGTTGTGGCTCTGATTCGATGGCGGATTACGTTCAGTGGGTTTTTTGTTGGGCGTGTTCTTTGGCCCAGGAGGTGCGAACTGTAAATTTTTACGAGGTTGAGGATGATCGCGAACGGGAAGATGCTCAACTTATTGGCGAAGGGGAAGTCGATTCAAGTGCCATTACGACGCCGCCTACTCGAAATTACATGCGATCAGAAAGTACAGGTACTTACGGAAACATGGTTACATCTCCACCATTTTTGGAAACAGAAATTGATGTATCAGATTTAAATCAACCTGCAGAAACCAAAAAGTCCGTAGAGCTTGTGTAATAATTAAGGATGTTACACATATTGTTATTCTTTTATTTTGTGCAGAAATTCGCTTACAAAATTCATCTCTTTGATCTTTCTAATGTGATCAGTATTAGTAAACCCCTCATTTTGAGGGGTTAACTCACTTTAATCCCTCTAGAGGGGTTAGCTTAACCCTTCTATATTTTTTATATTTGGCAAATTATTGAGGATTAACTCACTTTAACCATTGTATAGATTTTTTATGTTTGGCGGGTTAAGAAAGGGTTAAGTTTCCTTAACCATTTCCACTGGTAAAAGGGAAATAAAAATCTAGAATGTTACACGCTCAAGCAACGTTGAAGTCAGAATCACTGCTGGCAAAGGATACTTCCGCGAAATCTGGATGTCAATAGGATTTCGGAAAATAACCCAGTGGTGGGTTCCTTCGCGAGAAGTTAGCGCCTGGTTGACCTGATTAGTTATTGTTAAAGATTTCTTCATAATTCAAGGGGTCCAGTTTAGAGTTGTGGATCACACAACTCTTCTGGATGCGTCTCTTTCTGCGTTTAATATGAGATATGGGAGCCTGAACTTCTTGCCTCAGGGTCAACAGGAGTTGCTATAACTATATACCTAACCACTTTGATTATTCAAAAGTTTTCATGAACCAGAGCTTTGGGTAAATCTCCTATGTACTTTAACGTCGAGAATTTAATCAGACTTACAACTATCATTTTCTAGCTAGTTAACTAGCGTTGCTGGTCTCTAACAAAAAATATGTTGGAAATTTACCAACTTTAAACGCTATAGCATGCAGATAAATCCGAGTAAAATAAATAATAAAATATGGTCTGAACGGGAATAGTCGTGTAACACTGCCCTAGAAGATTGAGGACCGCCTATCGCCCTGACACAGATGATCCTCTCTCCCCTAGCGGTAAAAGACCCAGAAACGGCCGGCCTCTGTACTCGGACAAGAGTACAGATCAGCTTTCAGCTCAGATGAAGAAGATTTTCCATAAAAATAATAAAAAAATTTTAAGAGGAGAAAAATAGTTTCTTTGAAAAACCAGAGGAGAGAAGAAAGCTTTGTCTTATATCTTTTGAGCTCAACATACGACTGTTTATATAGGGGTAAGAAAGAGCCGTTATAAAACCCTGCAATTAATACGGTAACGTTCGTCATAAATTTTCGTAACGTTCACCATAATGTATAGCCGTTACGCTCATTTTTAATTGCTAATTAAAACATGTTTTGATTACAAAATTTATTACTATTCATGAAGTCAAAATTACAAAAAACTATGGAGTAATTTCTTAAAACTTTACGATTTTTATTTCAACAAGAAGCTTAAAGAAACAAAGAAAAAAAATAGCCAACCATATGATTGGCTACAACTTTGAATTGGTCTGATATGGAAAAATGCAAGTTATGGGTGACTTAAATGAAGTAACCAATCAATTTGATAGATTAAAGGGCACGTTGCTTGCTCTACGTATACGTATGTTTCCACTTAATATATATATATATATTTTTTTCAAAATTGAGAGTGAAAGCCACCATCCTTGACCTCTTACAAGGGTAACTGTGACCGAGCACCAAATTAATGACACCGGATGCGTTATTGTGACATTTTCGCAAATTTTTTCCAAGACATGTGGACCTCACTGATACTTGTTTTACTAATTGGCCACAGCGACCGATATTTTTTTTATTGCCATGATTAATTCTTCTCAATATAATTTATTCAACACCAAAAAATATGGACAAAATACACTTATATTGATGGGGAAAACGAGTCTATTCTTTATAATCCTTGCCAGTTGGAATAAGAACCAAGTAAGACTTTAGTGACATGTATAATCAGAACACATGACTTAAAAGAATGGTAAGAAACCGCGCGATTATAATAATAATACGCATGGCTCCATTTATAACTTGAGGCAATGAGGCATTATTCATTAGAAAAGATCCTTCTGATCCCTATCAGAGTAAAAGTAATGCACTAAACATTATATAATCCTAGTTGCTTAATCTAAATCTTTTGGGTGCAGCACTTGAACTATATCCCACAACTTAAAGTGCCTTCCTCAGACTCAAAGTTGGAATCATGAACTTTTCAAGGGCTTTCAGCTTTCTTGACTAATTTTCATCAACATTCAAATTGAATAT